CCTGTGAAGCTAGCCAACGGCGTCTTCAGATTGGTCAGTTGTTCCCGCTTGAGTCCCATTCTTTCGAACGTGTGTAGGTACAACACGTTCACACTACTCCCTGTATCCACCAACACTCGGCGGACCAGGGCGTTGTCAACGCACATACTCACCACCAATTCGTCCCTGTGCGGACTTGGTGAGCTGGGCAGATCAGCCACCCCAAACGTTATCGACTCCATTCTTCCTTTCTTCTGGGGTGGGGCAGATACGGTGGCTACGTATAATCCTCGCTCGAACCTTTTTCGTTCGGCGTTCATGTCCCCGGTTTCTCCCCCGCCAAAGATGACCTTGATTTCCATCCTTAGTTTCCTCCTAGGATTCCCCGAACCCTCTGCCTCATCCCTGGGTGGGACGTATGCATCATTTCTTGGCTCAGCGTCACGCTGGCTATCTCTCTTCCAGCTGTTGGGCTTCTTGTTCTGACGCTGGTTCGGGGGATGGACGTTCGGGTTGGTGCTTACGTACTTTCTCAAGTACCCTTGATGGATCAGATCTTCAATCGCAATCTCCAAAGCTCGGCAGTATTGCGTATGATGCCCATTGTGTTTGTGATATTTGCACTATGCGTTGTGATCCGATCCCATGAAGACCTCTGGATCGGTCGGGGGTGGGGGGGGGGGGAATGGTATCCGACTCCTGATTGAACACACGAGCAATGCTCATGACAAGGGGGGTAAACTGCTTAACCTTCTGACGGTGGGGTGAAGGTGCCGGTGTGGGGCCTAGTCGATCCGCCAACCTTGTGGTAGGTTGAGGGGCCGTTCGGTCCCGTATCCTGATCTCTTCTTCTAGGGCCGCATGGCTCCTGGCCCTTTCCAGGACATCCGGGTAACTGGCTCCCGGATTCCTCTTCAGTTCCCTATATAAATCCCCAGTCTGAAGGGCGTCGGTGAACAGAAGGATGGCTGTTTCGTCTGTCATGCCGGTCACCTTCAGAGTCTCCGTCCTTCACCTGGTTAAGAAACCGGTGATCGATTCCTTGGGCCCCTGCCTTATACTGGTCAGGTATCCAAAATGCAGCTTCGGGGTGGTGCTGGAAGCGAACTGTGCTAGAAACAAAGTGGACAATTCTGCAAAGCTCCCGATCGATCCGGATTGTAGTGTCCCGAACCACTCCTGGGCTGGTCCTCGGAGAGTACTGAAGAACAGCCTGCATATCGCGGCGTCAGTGGCCCCGAGGAGCATAAGCCCACCCTGGTAACTCCTCAAATGTACGTGGGGGTCCCCCACTCCATCGTATGTCAGGCCGGCCGGGGGCCGGCAGTACCTCAGAATTTCAGCATTCATGATCTCCCTTGTAAAGGGAGAAGTGATTCCAACCCGCGCTGGCGGGGTTTGTTGGGGCGTCCGATTAACCTGCTCTCTGAGCTCAGGCATTTGCCTCCTCATTTCGGCAATTTCTTCGTCTTGTACCGTTCGGGGGGGTTGTGGCATCCTTGCCTCCCTGAACTCTGGCATCCTGTTCGGGGGAGGGGCTGCTGTGTTAGCCCTCCTACAAATGAAACGTTCCCCATCCCTCTGGACATACTGGAAGTGTTGTCCAACGGGATCTACCATGGGGGTAGGTTCCCTGTATTCGTTGCCGGGTGCAGACGGAGTTCGGCTGGTTGGGGCTGGCTGTGCATGCCTGGAAGGATGGGCCCTCCTATAGTTCCCTCGATGCTCCTGGGAATGTGCTGAGGCCGTGGTGGTCTCAGTGTCTTCTCTTTCGTCAAAGGATGACTTAGGATGAATAGGGGATAGAGGCTCATGAGTTTCATCGGTGTATCCCTGTTCCTGTTCATCCGCCATGCGTTGTATGGCCTCTGCCATCTCCCTCATCAACTGAGGGTTCATCCTTACGTCCCGAGGGATGATGCCTTCAAAATCCCGAGTGGCACTGCCACTGGCGTGTCCTTGCATGGACCACCCCTCAGAAGATCTATTGCCTCCTCGGCCCCTGGATGTAGAACTCGGTGTCACGGTAGTAATTCTAGCCATTTCAAGAAAAATGGTGCTCAGATCAAAGGTTTTGCTTGGAACTTTTAGTAGCGTTTCCCACAGACGGCGCCAATGTTGAAGTTTTTTCCCGAAGATCCAAAAGCCCAACACAAGCTTTGGATATTGTAGGGATATTGGGTTGGTTTGGAAAGTGTATAAAATATAACAGTGAGATATTATCCAACTCAAGAGCTTACTTGTATTGAGTAATTATGCAATTACAAGGAAACTACCCGAACGGTAGATGAATACGAGAATACAAGGATAAGGGATGTAAATCTATTGCTAAGCTCTGAGTATTGAAATCCTAACCCTTTACAATGATCTTAATGCAGGTATTTATAGTAAAATGGGGATGGGAAAGCTAGCCACGTGGCTGAATCCGGTAGGTTGTCATCTCTGCCATGTAAGCACCCCTGCCTCCACTTGCAGGCGCCATGATCCAGCATTAAATGCAGTTTCCACTTGCTGACTGCCCGTTCGGGTATAATGTTCGGTGAGTGGGACCCTGCCATAGATGTTATCTTGTTTATGAAGAGTATCCCGAACCCCGTTCGGGAACCAACTATTTGGTGCTTTGGCGTGATTGTTTCCTGAGATGCTCCAAGTAGAAGATTCGCCCCGAAGGCTGATCGGGAACTCTGGGCTGCTTTGGGCCTGCTACTTCTTTCCGGATTTGGGTTAAGGGATATTGGGCCTGGACCCAATATTTCAACAATACTCATTTTGTAAGTTACGTATGCTCATCTGATACTCATCATATGCACATTTTATAAATGACATGTAAAAAGTTCATATTTCAAAAGTATCATGATACTCAATATTATACTTTTAATACTCAACAGAATAAGTGTAATGCTCAGTAAAGGTTCATGAATGCTCATTTGACAAGAACCGTGATTTTCATCTCAAAAGAAGAGGTTTGATGCTCAATGAAAATGTCGTGACATTCAAGTAATAAATCTTACGATTTTCATATTAATGCGCATTTTGTAAGTTGTATATGCTCATTTGATACTAATGTTATGTTCATTTGTAAAATGTCATATAAACGCATATTTCAAAAGTATCATATCACATTAAAGTTGTATATTGAAATTCATAGGAATTGCATGTTTATACATAAAATTTAACAAGTTTCTATAAAAGAAAAAATAACAAAAAAAAAGAATTAGAAGTTGTGAAACAGAGACCACGATTCTGAATATTAGACTCCTAATACTCAACATAATAAGTATGATGCCCATTAAAAGTGCGTTATTGCTCATTTAGCAGAAACTATGATTTTCATCTCAAAAGAGGAGTTTTGATGCTCAATGAAAGTGTCGTGATACTCAACTAACAAACCTGACAATTTTCATATCAATGCGCATTTGGTAAGTTAATTTGCTTATATGATACGAAGTACTTTTGAAATATGCATTAGTATGACATTTTACAAATGAGCATAACATCAGTACCAAATGAGCATACAAAACTTACAAAGTGCACATTGATATGAAAAAGACAAGGTTTGTGAATCTAATGTAAAATAGTACTTTAAACCAAATGCATTGATATGACATTTAGAAAATGAGAATAAGATCAGTACCGGATGAGCATTAAAACACTTTCGATGAGCATCATGCTTATTTGGTTGAGTATTAGGAACTTAACAATGTGAATCTCATGCCATATGCAACTTTTAAAATTTGCATGAGTATGAGATTTTAAAAATGAGCATAATATGATTGCAAATTGAACAAATATAACTTACAAAATGAGTATTGATATGAAAATCATAATTTTTAAGTTTGTCTTCGAGACATTTTTATTGAGCATCAAACCTTCTCTATTGAGTATTGAAAACATGCAATTGAGTATTATGGTCTGTGCTCTTATATCTATAACCATCTCCTACATGAATCTAAAAAATAAACAAACATTTAATACTATTTTATTTTAAAAGTAAACTGAAACATTTAATTGTATTTTATTTTATACATTAATTGAATATAATATTAAAGTAGAAGTTTTCTAAAAAAAGGAGAACAAACAAAAAACAAAAAAAAGAATAAACAAATGAAAAGAAAAAAAGGAACGTACGAAGTGGAAGTGAAATAAGGACAAAAAAACGTACGAATTGGAAAAGTAAGGACTAAAGATGTGCAGGAGTGGAGCTGTAATTGAAAATTAAAAGGGAGTTGCTCCAGCGCCTCAGCTTATCAAAGTTGCAACTAATTGCAAAAATACCGGATGTATACGTACATCCGGGTGTAGGATATAGACACTCAGATTAATATTAACTTTAATTAATTGAATTGCTAACCAGTGACCAACAAAATTAATACTCCGTAAATAGTTGGAGTAATTATTTATTAATTTGATTTTAGTAGTTCTTTAGTTTAATATTTTAATTTCACAAATAATTGTGTTTGAAGATTTTGACTTTTTAACTGACTGGTTAGTTTGTGATATGTAGATGACACAATATTGTATTAGAAATTACAACTTTGATGCTTATGTTTAATTTATATTTAAGAATTTTTTCTTTTGACGTTCACAAGCTATATTTCACTTGTACATGCTTTGAATTTTAAATTGTGTGTTTTATTCAGTTTTTTTATATTAATTTTTGTAGGGATAAGGGTCAGATAGGGCCTCGAACTTCGAAAAAAATGTCAAATAAGGCCATATTTGGGCTGCTATGTCCGGCTAACGTCATTTGGGGCGGTTCCCGGTGGAATTTTTTGATGATTTTTTTTGAGAATCTTATTCATTAAGTCTAGTTTACTCATATCAAATTTGAACTACCAATTCAATCGGGAAGGCATTCAAATGAATTCTTGAAGATAATTGCGCTTTTAACTGCACAGTTATCTTCAAAAATTCATTTGAATGCCTTCCCGATTGAAGTTTTAGTTCAAATTTGATATGAGTAAACTAGACTTAATGAATAAGATTCTCAAAACATTTCATCAAAAAATTCCATCGGGAACCGCCCCAAATGGCGTTGGCCGGACAGAACATCCTAAATATGACCTTATTTGACATTTTTTTTCAAGTTCGAGACCCTATCTGACCCTTACCCCATTTTTGTATGACATTAGTCCTCTAAACATCATAGTAAAGTTCTAAAATAGAACTTATTGCACTTTCTTCCTAAAATAGGATGTTGTCCTATTTAAATATTAAAAGAATACAAATCTTTCTAAATAGGAGTGCATGTGTCCAATTTTGGAAGAAAACAATAACACTCTTATTAAGAAATTCTAATACTCATCTCGTCCTACAAAAGTTTGCTAATTTTCCTTATTAAGAATTCTCAAAAAACGCTTTTATTTCGTAATAAATATATAATTAAAGTTATTTCCCTTTTATTCCACAAATATCAATCCACTTTTTTTATTTTATTATTTTACATAGAAGTTAAATTTGATCAAATTTAATGGGAGGGTAGAGTAATTTTGTCGCCTAGGTCCTTCTCCTCCTCCTCCTCCTCCTCCCCCTCCCCCTCCCCCCCTCCCCCTCCCCCTGACCCACTCTCGTTGATCACCCCGAAGAGGTGCCGAGCGGTTGGAGCGTTGCACACGTCTCAGAGCATAGGGACTCAAGGGAGGATCTACATATAGGCTATAGTCATTGTTCTAAAACTCGCTAGGCGCTAGTCGGGCGGTTGAGGGGCGCCTAGCGCCTAGGCGGCCGACTAGGCCGATTTTTTTGGCCGACTAGGCCGACTAGGCCTCTACGGTTAGGGCCGACTAGGCCGCCTAGGCCGATTAATCGGTCCGCCTAGGCCGATTTTTTGAACAGTGGCTATAGTGGGATGAAGCTCAGAACAACTTTTTGTTCAATTTTTTTAGTGATTTTTTTTTCATTTTTGATACTTAGCTCACCCCTCTAACGTTTAAGTCTAGTATAATTACTCTTCAATCCAGTCCAGTTCAGATTCCTGGATCCGCCCCTGTAGAGACTGGAAGTAGTGCAACCACACGATGGGAGATCAATTACACCAAGCGCTCCTCATCTTGATGCAAGGCCTCTCCCATGAGAGAGGACATGGTGCGTTACTCGAAAGTTAAGAATGGAGGTGTGGAATCGCATGCTATTTCTTGGTATGAGGATACCAAATCCCCCGAAGAGTGGACTCACCAGTTAGGAAAGGGGATGATTGAGGAAATGAAAGGTTAAGAAATTAGGAAAGGGGTTTCTCTTGGACATGCGATGCGAGAGGGCAATTATACGGCCCATTATCTTTCGATTACTCCTTCGGCCCATTTTCAAATTTACAGCAGGATTAATGATCTTCCGGGTAAGGCCCGTCAAGCTTATTTTCGTGATTTATTTGGTCTTCCCTCTTTTAGATGTGTTTATTAAATTTGTATTTTTGTTATTGTATTTTTTCTCTTTTGGGTCAGGTCTAGCCCCCGATAGAGCTTTCATTATTTGTTGTTATGTGTATATTTTTAAAGGGAATGCCCTCTAGAAGAGGTTTTGGTATGGCCCCCCTCTTCGTTCTGTTCTCTTTTGCTTATTAATAAAATCTGGCAAATGTTCCCCGACATTTGCCCCACTGATTTTGGTGGTTTGCCTTTCGGGTTAAAAAAAATGGACTCACCGGTTAAACATGCCAAGTGCGTGCAATATTTCCAATTTAAATAACTTATTGAATTACATACATTGGTCGATGGAAAGAAGAAAGAGGAGGCACTCGGGAAGGTAGTGTCACCAGGGGCGGACCCAGGAAATTGGTATCGGGGGGGGCGGTAATTTAAACAAAAAAAATCTAGGCGCTAATAATAATAAGTTATAACCTTAATATGATAGTAATTAAATGAAGTATTACACAGTAAGCAAAAATTAGAAGAAGAGACAAATATATTATTACACAATAAAAAAGTTAGTACCTTAGAATTGTGCCCGACGCTCCTTCAATGAGATAAATTCCTCAATGATGGCTTTTGAGTCAAAAGTTTTAGCAATTTCTCTTTCAATATAAACAACAAGGTTGTCTGCTAGATACTCGTCCTCCATTTTATTGCGAAGCCTTGTTTTTATAATTTTCATTGCTGAAAAAGCCCTTTCTGTTGTTGCTGTCGAAACCGGTAGAGTCAACAAAAGTCGGATCAATCTATCAATAAGAAAGTACACTTTTGACATCTCCGTCTCTGCTAATCCTTGACAAAGTTCACCCATTGTAGACAAATTAGCCAACTTTGGATGGTTTAGAACATTCAGCTTATAATGTTGCAATTGAAACCTCAAGCCCACCTTCTCCTGCTCAATAAAATCAAAGGGGTAATATTTATCCACTAAAGAACATATATCATCAATGTTAAAGGACTTATATGAGTCCTTAGGATCCAAAGCACCGCTAAGAGTAAGAAGATCCATTATTTGTTCACTGAATCTGCTATTCAGCTCCAACAATTGTGAATCTATGGTTGCATAAAACATATCAACCCGATAGTGACGTTCAATATCAAACCCTTCTTGATCGTTGCGTTTGCGTTTTGCCACATAAGGAGACTTCATATTTGGAACTTCAATCTCATGCTTTTTGCAAAACTCTTTAACAATTTCTAAGAAGTTATCCCATCCATCCTCCCTTAACTTTTGGATCAACAATTTGGTGCTTGACACCAAATGCATAGCATTTACTATGTCTTGGGACTTCTTTTGTAGATGCTGACATAGAAGATCTGTAATGCCCATAATTTCTTTAATAAGATGAAACAAGAAAACAAAATCAAAAGATTTAATCTTCTTAAGTGCTCCAGCTGCATCTCCACGAGTAGAATAGTTATTGCCATTCTCTTCAACATCTTCTAAAACAGAACAAGTTGCGGCAAACATCCTAATCAAACTGCAAACAGAACTGAAATGTGAGCTCCAACGAGTTTCTCCAGCTCGTTGTAATGTACCAACCTGATTAAGTCCCCTGCCTGTTTCAAGCTCACCAATTTCCAACAATCTTGCAATTTCAAGTGCTTGAGCTTCCTTTAATTCATCATTTCGTTTGCAAGAAGAACTAGTCACATTAATAATAAAGACTAAATCGGTGAAAAAATTATGCACATATTTCACCTCTCTAGAAGCAGCAACCAATGCCAATTGCAACCGATGTGCTAAGCAATGAACATAGTAGGCATAAGGGCAATCATTTAAAAATAATGCTTTCAACCCATTCCATTCTCCCCGCATATTGCTAGCACCATCGTATCCCTGACCACGAATGTTCTGAACATCAAGACAAAATCTTGAAAGAACGGCACAAATTTCTTTTTTCAAAGTTAATGCTGCGGTATCTCTAACATGCACAACATCAAAGAAATGCTCTCTAATGAACCCCTTTTCATCAACAAATCTCAAAATAATAGCCATTTTCTCTCTCTTAGATTCATCACGTGCCTCATCAACAAGAATGCAAAACTTAGAATCACCAATATCATGTCGAATCTTATGGCGCACTTTATTAGCATGAATGTGTAAGATCTCTTTTTGAATTTTGGGAGAAGTATACATAGAATTTTTTGGAGCATTATCCAAGACAACACTAGCAACTTGTTCATTATATGATGCTAAAAGTGAAACCATTTCAAGAAAATTACCTCGGTTTCTAGAAGTAGAGGATTCATCATGACCTCGTAGAGCACATCCTTGCGAAGCCAACCACCAAACAACATCAATAGAGGTCATAACCCGTAAGCGGTTACCTTCCTTCACCTCTAGAGTTTGTGCTTCGATGACTTTGTCAATATGGCACGATTGATTCAATAATTCTTGACAACTTTTCCAAGAATTATTGTGTGGAGAACATGGATCTTGACCCACATGATTCAGCAAAGCACAATTAGCCCCGTCATTAACTTTTTTCCAACTTTTAAAACCTTTAAGAGTGAAAGCATCAGTTCCATGACGAGTTATAGGCTTTGCAAAAAGGTAGCACGGAAAGCAATATGCTGCATCTTGTGTGGGGGAATACTCCAACCAATGAAACTTTTGAAACCAAGAAAACTGAAATCTTCGAGGGCGCTTATCATCGGACAGGGGATACTTTGCAAGATGTATTTGATATGGCCCCATCTCCAAATATGCTCGAATAACTTCATCTCTTTGATTAACAGGATATTCCCATATCTGAGGGCGTTTTCCGGGATCACGTTCTAGATTCTTGATATCAAATGAAAGACTAGAACAACCCAAATATTTGGAAGTATTAGTAACTTCTACATTTACAGTTTCTGCATTGACCGGATTACTCGGACTACAACTCGAATCAACAGTTTTTCTCTTAAAATGAGAGTCAATGCTTGTCTGCTTCTTCATCTTTCAGTCATTCACTATATCTTTCACAAAAAATTAGAGAAATTACTTTAAAATACAAAAAGGTAAACGAAATGCACAAAGACATATATGTTTATAATACACTGCATAAAACCCCAAAATTTATCTTTGGCAATTCATAAAATTGATTAACTAATGACTAACCCTAACACTCTAAAAGGCTAAAAATTATAATACAAGTTAACACAAATACACAATCATCACAAAATAAGAGAGAAAAAGTCTAAAATAGTAAAATATTGACCTGTGCGGCTTGAGGCAAACCCAGAGACGGGCATGACGGCTGAAGCACGGCGTGACGGCGGTCAGAGGAACAAGGCGTGACAGTCTTCCTCGCAGACTCGCAGGTTTGCTGCTCCTAGGACCTCGGTTCTCGCCTTCTTCCTCGCACAGTCGCACGGCCTGACAGTCTTCTTCAATCGTTCATTGACTTCATTCGTTCTTCTAATTTCTTTATTCTCTGACCTTTGTGGCTTTGTGCGTAGGTTCATTAAAGTGGCCAGTGGGGTGGGCTGGGATTCTTTTTCTTTTTTGAAAGGGGTGGGCTGGGATTCTTCAAAGAAACTTTGAGTGGGCTGGATAAAAAAGAGTATTTAAAGAAAAATATTATTTTAGAGTAGACTGGGCTGATATAAATTTTTGACTAGCCTGATCTGCTGATATAATATTACTTCTAGAATTCTATTTTTTCAGGCTCTTAAACAATTCAAACCTCTGCGAGTGGGCTATGATTTGGGAGCGAAAATATTTATTGGGGGGGTTCAATTTTTTTTGGAGGGGCGAGAATTATTTGTTGGGGGGGTAAATTTACTTTTTATATATACATATATACTAAAAAAAAAAAAATTGTTGGGGGGGGCGACTGCCCCCTGGGTCTGTACTACGGTCCGCCCCTGAGTGTCACCCTTTAGGGGGAGGATCATGAAGGCCGAGGCACCGCATGCATGACTTCAAATCCCCACACACTGTATACAAGGGAGATACAAACCCGAGGGAGCATATTGCAGGTTCCAGGCTATGGAGACGAGCTCATGTGTCGGGCCTTCCTCCTATCCCTGGTGGGTCCAGCCCAGGAGTGGTTCCTCACGCTAGACACAAGTACATACACACAAGGTATTTAGGAATGCAAGAAGGTGTCCGTATGCACTCTCTTGAGGCTTCAGACGAATCTTTATGAAATACGCTTCACAGCCAAAAGATGAGTAGTGCGTGGGGCATGCATGAATTGAGAAACCAAGTGCACAGCATAAGTAATATCAGGTCTAGTTAAAATCAAATACTGTAATGCACCTACCATACTATGATACTCAGTAGCGTCAGTGAGAAGTTCACCATCTGTCAGAGAAAGAGTGGTGCGTGATGGTAGCGGAGTACGAACAGGTTTGACAGTATGAAGATGAAAGCGACGCAATAAATCAGAGATATATTTATGTTGAGAAATAAATAAACCCTGAGAAGTACGACGAGTCTGAAGTCCCAAGAAAAAATGTATATCCCCTAAATCCTTCATAGCAAACTGAGCAGATAAAGACTGAATAATAGTGCGAACAAAGGATAAGGAGGAACCAGTGATTAAAATATCATCCACATAAAGAAGAATATACACAACCTGAGAATCACGGTGAAAAACAAACATAGAGGAATCAGATTTGCTCTGTGAAAAACCATGAGTCAAGAGAAATCCGCTGAAACGATGAAACCAGGCTCTTGGAGCCTGTTTCAGACCATATAAAGCCTTTTTGAGTCGACATACATGATTTGGAAAAGGATGAATGAAACATGGAGGTTGACGCATATATACTTCTTCTGTGAGATGACCATGAAGAAAAGCATTTTTGACATCCAGTTGTCTAATACACCAACCAAGAGAAATCGCAATAGATAACACAAGACGCACAGTAGTAGGTTTAACAATCGGACTAAAAGTTTCAGTAAAATCTATACCCGCCTGTTGCTTAAACCCTTGAGCTACCAATCGAGCTTTGTGACACTCAATAGACCCATCAGAATTATATTTTGTCTTATAAACTGTTAGAACTTTTATTGTGGGTCAAGTTTGTCTGTAATGTCTTGTTTAAATAAAGTAGACTAGTTATACCGTTTATGGTATTAGATTAGTATTTATTATGTAACAAATAAGGTAAAGGGAATAAGGCCCAAAAAGGCCTTGGCCCAACTTCCAAGGTTTACCTAAATCGGTAACCTGTACAGCGCCTATAAATATGCGCCTTGTGTACAGGTACCGATATCGATTAATACACTCTAGCCTTACGCTGCTAAAATTCTTCTCGATATAATAGAAACACGATCTCCAAAGTTCTCGATACTTCATAAATCATTCTGTGAGATCGTTCTTCTCTGTTATTCGATGATATCCATCTAGTTGTGTGTTAGTCTGCATAATCTGGGACCAACAACTGGTATCAGAGCCTGCTCGAGTGAGATCGCCGAAGAAAAAGTTTTCGAAGTCCTCTGTTTTCCATCTTTTCGATATTTTACCTTTTTAATCGCTGTAATCTCACTTTTGAACGAAAAAGTGTAAAAGATGTACTGCTGAAATCGCATATCAAAAACGAGCAAACAGTATATCTTAAATTTTCGATTTGTTTAAGTTTCAGATTTGAGGTTCTCGATATTCTGATATCGAAAAGCAGGTTTCTCGAGGTTTCTGCAAGTTTTCCAATCTTCAAACTGCACAAAGAGGTTCTCGAGATCAAGGACTTTACAGAAAAGCTGTTTTATCTGTTTAAAATTGATTTTTTGATTTGCAGGATTTCGACACTGTCTTCTCGACATAAGTTCTCGATTTGAGTTCTCGAACTTCTGTTCTCGATACTCAGTTTTCGATATTAAAATCTCGATATCTTGTTTTCGCATTTGCAGGTTCTCGATACGGCTTCTCGACATTCAGTTCTCGAACCTAAGTTTTCGAACTTAAAGTTCTCGATACTGACTTTTCGAAAGCTGCTTCTCGAACCTAGCTTCTCGATAGCAAGGTTTTCGATATCAAAATAACGAAAACTGCTTCTCGATAGAAGTTCTCGACCCCTTCTCGAACTTATTCCTGAAAATTAGGTTTTCGACATTCTACAGTTAAAAACTTAATTTTATCTAATCAAAACACTCGATCGGTCTTTTTCAAAAACAACAACTGCAAAGATGGATGCTTTATCACTTGGTAATGACAGTAGGCCCCCAATTCTGAGGAGAGGTGAATACCAGATGTGGAGAACAAGATTCTTAAATTTTCTAGAAAGTAAAGATAACTCTTCCGCTATGCTTGAATCCCTCACTCAAGGGCCTGCTGAGATTTGGGCAAGTGTGAATGGCGTTGATGCAAACAACCCACCTGTTAATCAAGAACGAAGACTGAAGACAAAGGCTGAGTACACTGAAGAGGATAGACAGAGAATTAAAGCTGATCTTATGGCAAAGACATTCCTGCTACAAGCAATCTCAAATGACATATACATTCTGATTGATAGCATGGAGACTGCTAAAGAGATGTGGGATGAGGTAAAGAAGCTAATGATCGGAACTGATCTTGGACTGAAGACGAAGAAAGCAAACATCTTAACTGCTTATGATGCATTCAAGGCTGCACCAGGGGAGGCGCTCCATGAAACGTATAACAGATTCGTGCAACTGATCAACGAAATGAGGAAGATCAAGGTTGTGAAATCGAACATGGAGATGAATATACGTTTCTTGTCGAGCCTGCCCCCTGAGTGGAAAAGAACTGTAAAGAACCTAAGACAACACTTGGACTTAGATGAACTGGATCTCTGTACACTTCATGAGCATCTTCAGCAGTTTGTGAATGACACTGCTGAGATGGAAGGAAGCTTCTCTGCCAATCCTTTAGCACTCATGATTGAAGCTAAACCAAAGAGTTCATCTAAGGTTCAGAAGAAGAAGAAGGCAGCTAAGGTGGAGTCAGAAGAAGAAGAGAGTGAAGAAGAAGTGGATGTTGAATCTGAGTTGGCTGATCTGCAGAAAAAGATGGCTCTGCTCACCAATCAGTTCAACAAGAAATTTTCTAAGAAGGGAAACTCATCCAACAAGCTGCGAACCTCCTCTACCAATTACAAAACAAAGAACAATGATCAGAACTCTTCTAGTAGAGCTGTTGCAGCAGAAGACCCCCCCAAATGCTTCAACTGTGGAAAGGCTGGACACGTCATCAAAGACTGTCGCCTACCAAGAAAAAGGGACTTCAACTATTATAAGCAGAAGATGCTGTGGAACAAACAGAAAATGTTCATGGCTAAACAAGATGATGATAGTGCTGCAACACTTACTGAGAATGACCCGTGGCAGGAGGAGAGTTCAGATGAAGAAGAAGAGGAGAATCTGGCCCTGATGGCGTTTGTGGAAGAAGAAGAAAAAGAAAAGGGTGATGCTGCGATCCCCGGAGAAAGTACAAGCTCAAGCTCAAACACCACTGTAAGTAACTCTGAAACTGTCTGTTCCTGTTCTTGTAAAGTTCACTCTTCACAAGACAAAGACAATCTAATTATGGAGCTAAGAGACAAGGGAAACATCAACCATAAATATTTAATTGACAGTCTAGATAAAGTCAGGTCTCTGAGCATACAGTTAGAAAATGAAAAAGAAACTGTCAAGAAACGAACTTTAGAATTAGATCAACTCACCCAAAAGGTAGCTGAACTAACAAGGAAAGTTTCTGAGACTGAATTAGAACGAAATGTTGCAAAAGCCGAAAATGATTTTCTACATGAAAAAAGATGTACTCTTTACACGAAAATCAAAGAATTAGAAGATCTACTTGCCAAAAGAGGACAAACAGAACAAACCATTTTTCTCAATCAGAACAAAGACACTCGTTTTTATAACTCCAAGGAGGGTCTTGGTCTCACTAATCCCAATAATTTGAAGAAAGTGGATTGTATTCAACTTTATGACATAAATTATATGGGGTTAGGGTTGACTAAGTTGATGGCTTTTACCTATGGAAAGGAAACAGCAGAAGAAGAAGAGGTAAAGCGATCAAACCCTTCTAGAACAGAAATTCCTTTCAACTATGACTCCCTGAACAAAAGTTATGAAAATGCTGAACCTGTTTTCTCAACCGATGAGAGTGTGAGTCCTTATCCTTCTGAGAAGGAAGTTGTGTCTGATCCAGAGTCCCCTTCAACCTCAGGTTCTTGTGAAGAAGAACCTTATATCCCACCACTGATCAAAAAATTTGAAAACTTACACATTTCTTTAGAAAAACAAAGAAGAAGTTTCGAAGAAGAAAGGAAAAACTTTGAAAGTGAGAGGGAGAGGTTATTAAGAGAACTGACATCTTTAAGGGAAAGCTCTCAATCTGACACAACCTCCCAGTCGGCTAGTGATACAACGGATACAACTAATTCTCAAGAAAATATGCACAAAACTAATGTTTTCAAAAATACGACCACTCATTCCACGACTCCTTTGAAAACAGGAAATGCCGTGAGTAGGAGACTGGAAAGGAGAAGAGAGTGGAGG